CTTATTCCCACGGAAATTTAGTATTTAGAGGTGGATAGAAGAGGAACAACAGCTGAAGCCGGTTTGGCTCAGTGGTAGAGCGTCGGTCTGCGGACTGAAAGGTCCCAGGTTTGATTCCGGTCAAAGGCATGTACATTGGTTGCGGGTACATCCCCAGTAGGGGGTGTACAAGAGGCAGCTGGTCAATGTTTCTCTCTCATCGACGTTTCTAGCTCTCTATCCCTCTTCCTTCCTCTCTGTGAAAAATCAATAAAATATATTTTAAATAAGAAGAGGAACAACAGGCAGAGATGGGGAAGACACTTGAAAGGGTAGGAAGCAAATTAGGGTGTGATGTCACAAAAACCAAGCGCTGTTTCAAAGGGCAAGGGGACGGGTTGGTCAGCTGTGTCTGAGGACAGGATACACTAGGAAGGCTGCTTTGTTGGTGATGACTCCTGGGACGCACTTTTAACTATTCTGACTTATGTACTTGGGGGAAGGAGTTTTAGCTACCAGTTAAGATTGGGCTTCAAACAGGGAAAGAGCTTAAGAAAACTTGTTACCTGTTGGTCAGGGCAGCTTTCCTGACTTTTTCTGTAAGAAACACAGCCCAGAAATACTATTTATTGTAAAGGTAAACTCTGAGTACAGCTCTTAATGAATGGACTGTCTATAGCAGCAACATGTAGACACCAATGTTTACCCTACTCTCTCTAATATATCCTTTTCCTTAGTGTTAAAAAATGCATTCTACTCCATAATCTGTACTGCTTCAAAATACTGCAGATTTGTTTGGTTAATACCTCTATTCACTGAATATGGATATCAGAATTTGAAAATTTATATTTGGAGTGTTTGAGCAATTTTTCTAGACATCTCTTTTCAGTTTTCCTCCTCTTGTTTTACCTTAGATCTTAGCAGAGATACTCATTTTGTTAGTAATGCCAGGGAGCAGGCAGTTTCCATGGTAACTGGCAGACTGAGTTTGCTGTGGAAATTTCCGGAATTAATAGAGCTGCATTGCAGAAGGATGCATAAAGCAGTATTCATCTAGACATCCTAACAGTATGGACACAGAAGAATAGTTGCAGTGGTGTGCTGGGTATGTGTTCCATTTATTTTTCTGTCTAAAGAGCATTGCTGGTTATATATACATATGGTGAAAAGTGGAAGAGCTTGAGGCATTTTAGTATAAGTTGGCTCGATAAAATCAAGGATGCTTAGGGGAAAAAAGGAAGAAATTGGAAAGCATTTCTAGGAAATCAAGATAAATAGGTAGGAAAATGTGATAATGAAACAGGAGGAGAAAATGCACTTCAATTTGTTTACTAGTAAATAAAGGTTCTTGTGGGTGGTGGCTCTAGAATATAAAAGGAAAATCCTTAGGTATTAGAAAGTTTCAGGAATCAAGTTTTCATGCCTCGGAAGAAGACAGAGATAGGGGAGATATTAAGGAGGTTGGCTGCTGACTTAATTACATAGTTATATGTATATTATGATATACATATATCGTAATGTGATAGAATCAGGGAAGGGATATCAGACCCTTAATTTCATTCCCTGTAGATTTGTGGAGGATTTTTAAGAAAAAAGCTTGAATTGTTTTTTGAGTTTAAATTCTGGAAATACAGGGTTTGAGTGAATAAGTGAAGTTTCTTGTCTTTCAGAGCTGATGATAAATTTGAAAGAGAAAAGGTGAAAAATAAGTAGTATAATTTAGATTATTTAAAAGATAAACAATCTAAATGACAGTTATTTAGATCATGTGATCAGCAAACTATAACTCAGGAACCAAATGTAGCCAGCTGCTACCGTGTTTCCCTGAGAATAAGACTGGGTTATGACAGTGGTAAGTTTTGACAAATGGTGAATGATTCAAAGTAAGTAGATTTCCTAAATTAATGGAGGAGTGGCAATGTAGAATGTGTACAGTGGTGTGTGAAGCCACAAGTCTGAGACTTGACTCTGGGGAGAACCTTTGTGTCACTGTGGGAATACACAAGCCCATGCAGGAAGGGTCTGTGCTGTGTTCTTCGTATGTGAGCGCATGTGTAAGCCATAGTAACCATAGTAGACATCTATCCTTCCATCCCTTAGAAGTTTCATTTAGCATATTGGTATATTTGGAAATGTTTAAGAAGTGATATATGCCCATGGCAAAGAGTCAAATAGTAGACGTGGGATCCCATGGTGGGTGCTGGAGCTGCAGGGAGATCCTCTTCATTATGTAATTTGAGGGGTCCTCGCCTAATGCCTATATCCTCACCTTTCATATCATACTTAAAATGAAACTTCTGATTTAGATTCATGGAGATAATCATTAGAATGGTTAAGCAAGAATGGTTAGAAGTGGATTCAACTTAGGGTTAAATGTAATATACTTTTAAAAAAGTTATTGGGACTATAGATCAGGGATTTGCTGAGGACTCGGTGTTTCTGATTTCTGTATATGTGGATGCAGAGCAGTAACACTGAGCCCAGTCCAGGGTTTTCAGGCAGCTTCCTGGAGGACAAGATGGATGAAGTCTGTTTGCTTTTTCATCCGATCCTCTTGTCCGTGACTCTGTATGTCCTAAACACCAACTGAGAAGCCAGGAAGCCTGCGGGTGGAAGTTTTCTCTAACAAAGATCGTGTGCATTAAGTGCCACCCAGGGTGTCACGTATGCGTAAGCTTAAATAGCTTCACAGAATGAATAAAATTCAACTACAATTAGACTTTAATGTTCTTTTTTTTATTGGCAGCTATCTAGAATATGCATAAGGAAATAAAATGGGATAAAGTTTAAAACATGTAGCATCATTAGCCTCTAGCCACTAAATGCTCATAGCAATGCCTAGTCCTCATGATGATCGAACTGCTACCAATGCCTGCCCTCCTCCCCACCCAGGGTGTGGGGTAGTATTCCCCCCTGTGAGGATCAGAGAGAAATGAAGTATTGTTAGGGGCTGTATTAGAAGTGTGTTTGCATGTAAACTATAATTGCAATAGGAAGTTAGGCATGAGCAGAGCAGAAAGCCCCTGGTAGCAGTGGACAAAACTGGGAAGACAAGGATCTGGCTCCCAGAGTGACCTCTCCTCCCCTAGCATGTCCTTAGTCATGTGGTAGCCCCCCTTAGGGGAGGAACAAAGGGGTCAGAGATTAGCCTCTTTTAAGTCCCATACAAACCCTTGCACGACCACACCCTTAAGCCACATCAAAGTCAAGTCAGTGAGGTTCTGGCCATATCAAATAATCTTAGCAATAAAGCCTAGGGTCTGTTGGCAGAGTTTTGGTCAAAGTAGAGAGAACATCTAGGCCTCAGTTGTGATTATGTTTCAGGCCCAGAAAAGCATTAAGGCCAGGTAGGGTGATTCCATGGCTGACAGCAGGACCAGCTGTGGTGACTAATGCCCTTCCCTGGCACAGACCAGTCAGTAGTGCACAGGACTCTGAAAGGACATACCAGGAAAGCTGATGAATATTCTATTGAGAACCTCCCCCAAGACCCCACCTTTACAGAGTGGATAAAAACCTCAGGACACAGGACCCAGCATGCTCATTCTCTCCTTCTCTCCCCATATCATTGAAGACTGTAGACAAGCCCCAGTGCCTTTCCCCAGGGTCCCACCCCTAGCATACTTCTGCCTGTCCCTCTCTTCTTCCAGGTGCATTCTTTCTACTTTTCTTTTTCTTAAACTCCTAGGGCCCTTCTGTAACTTGTTTCCTGAGTCCAAACAGGGCTCAGATGAGAGACCAGGTTCCTTTGCCTGGAAAGAAGAGGTTTGGGAGAGTAAGTGTTCCCTTAAATAAGCATTTGGGAGAGGCAACCCAGTCATTCTTGTGGCATCCCTTTATAAAGCTAGGGAATGTAGTCTTTTGAAAAGGAACATGAAGATATTTAACCCATGGGACATACACCTACTCTATTTATATTAGTGAATATGGTGGTAAGATACAGTATGTCCGTTAATTAATTTTTCAAATTTGATTCAAATCAATCAATAAGGTTGATTGATACATATATTTTTAAATGTATTTTTACTGATTCCAGAGAAGAAGGGAAAGGAAGAGAGAGAAACATCAATGATGAGAGGGAATCATTGATTAGCCACCTCCTGCAGCCCTTCCTTTTCGCCCCCCGGAGACCAAACCCCAACCCAGGCATGTGCCCTTGACTGGAATTGAACCTGGGACCTTTCAGTCTTCAGGCCAACACTATCCACTGGGCCAAACTAGCCAGAGCAAAGAGTCCTTTTTTTAGGGCATCAGCCTTCTCACCTACAAAACTGACAGGTTTAGCAGACTGTTTTGAAGGCACTACCAGCACAAGAGTTGTGTGGGTCAGAGTCATTCCTGCCATCCCTGTTTCCACTGGGAGCTAGAATACCAAGTGGGAATGCACACTGGAAATGGTATAACCAGGTAGAAAGAAAAGCATTGAGATTATTATGAACATGGCAGTACACTGAGGTGCTAGTTCCTAAACTGTTGGAATCACCCGGGGATCTTTAAAAGTATGGCTTCCTGCCTCTTGTCCCTAGATATTCTGATTTGATTGCTGTAGGGTCTAAAAAATTCTCCCCAGATGATTGGAATATGCAGCAGAGTTTGTTAACAGCTGTACCCGGATTGTGGACCTGAAATAAATAATGTTGGGTGAGGTAGGAAAAGAACTTTTTGGAAATGGGGCTTATAGCTCTTGAGATTTTACCTTTGATAATACAGTTTGCTAAGTTAGGAAAAGATCTATATTTGGAAATAAAAATTGGTTTGCAGAAATGTTTTCTTCGAAGATTGGAAATTGGTTTTATACATCCCATTAAAGCTGTGTTATGGATTACCTAAATTTCAGCCTTTCTTAATTCAGTGTGTAAAAAATCAAGATAATTCAAACAAAAAACTCCCAAAATCTGGAGGTCAGACTGTTTTAGTAAATTGTGAGAAAACAAATTTCCCACACATTAATCGCTGCTAACTAAAATCAGTAAATCAAACCCTATTTAAAATGTGGAAATTGCTTTTCAATGTTTTAACAGAGAGAGACTGAGAACACACAGCATTGAATCGTCAGGAAAACTGAAGATCTCCCCGGAACAGCACTGGGATTTCACCGCAGAGGACCTGAAGGACCTGGGAGAAATCGGACGAGGAGCGTATGGTTCTGTCAACAAAATGGTCCACAAACCAAGTGGACAGATAATGGCAGTTAAAGTAGGTGAAGCACAAAATTATTTTTGGAACTTTAATCTGTTAGGTGCAGTTTCTTGATGTAGTAATACTACTATTCTGTTCTTGCTACTCTGTGGTAAACGTGGGTGTCTATACAATTGTTTCTTCGAATTCTTTGAGGGTGTTTTGTACAGAGCTGGTCTTATTGGTGGCACGTTTTCTATCTCTCCGGAACCATGAGTGTATGAAGTATGCATGTTCACTGCACTTTTGGCATGATGCATTAACATGTTTTAAACTTCAGGCCCTTCCACGGCCCAGGTGAGTTCAGGCCGGGCGGCTGCCCCCCGGGAGCAGGGCAGTGCTGCAGTGAGCCAGGCGGGGAGCTGGAAGAAGAGGCAGCGCACTGGGTTGGGCAAGGTGCGGGGCTAGGGCTAACAGCAGTCTTACTGAAGGTTTCCTGGAAACCACGCACATGCTGTTGCCACTAACCTCAACCTTACTCGGTCCTGACCGGCTCGGCTTCTGTTTGTTTATTTCATCTCCACTCAGTACTGCCCTGTTCCCTGGTTTGGAAGATGTATTAAAATGTATATACCTTGTGATAACGCTGTCACATTCTGTTCTTATTGTGAGTGTCATGACACTTAATATGTTCATTAAAAAAAAAAAAAAAAAATCAAAGAGCTGCCAGAAATGGAGATTGGCCCATAGATTGTACCTGGCAGGCTTGTGTTGGCACCTGTAACGAACTGATGCTTTCCATCCCACTCTTAGTTGGCCCATATAATTGTAATTTGTTCACTTGTTTGTTCCAATGTTTAATGAATATTTGTTCTGTGTACGATATTTTAGGAAAATTGACGGGTGGGGAGGAATTTAAAGAAAAGTAAAAAAAAAAAAAATAAGATATGGATATACTGTCATTGAATTGAAAGTTCTTAGAGTGATAAACAATGTTCCAGTTTGTAAGAACTGAGAATGGGTTTACAGACTAAGCTAACTATCTTCCTGTCAATTCCCTCTTTTGAGAGTTTATCAAAGTGGCTTGATGAGAGGAGGAGCCTAAGTTTCTGACTTGATTTCGGGGAGTGGATTTATATTAATGTAAAAGGCTGCCTGTGTTGAAGTTTATTGTGAGCAAAATGTTACTATTTTAGCTTCCTTCATTGTTGAGCATTTCTTTTTTCTGGGTCATTAAAACTAATGAGAAATTAATGATGGAAAACTATGATTTTCTCTTTAGGTTCTTATCTTGTTCATATTGTCTAATGTGATGAGATCTATAGACTTTTTCTCAAAAAGGGGCAGACATGTATGAAATTTTGCGTATAACCCATAGGCCTCTAAAGATGAAGATGCTAAGACCTTTGCTCTGGATTATCTGTTGAAATAAAATGTTTTTCTTAGAAGGAATTGTTTCTCTTTTGATTTTGTGCCACTGCAGAGTAAGTGGAAGGAAAGTCATTTTATTTAGACTCTTCTGCCTGAGTATTGCTTTGCCCCATGTTGTCTGTTCATAACATCCGCTTTTACTTAAGGGAAATCTGCCTTCTGTAACTAAGTTCTGACCCCAACACTAGGGAAAGCACTATTAAGTAGTCATGTCCTGCTTTTTTCAGTGTATGCTGTGTGTATTCCTGTGCTAATTCACATTGGGATCTGTTTTAGTAATCTGGACTGGCTTAGTCACAGTTAATTGGTTTTAAAGGTAAATAAAGAAGATACTGCATTTTGATGTTTAAAATGTTTTTCTTAATTTGATAACCTTTGGAACTGTATAATGCTGACTCAAGTTTTGAAGGAATTTAAAAGTGAGGATAGGAAGTTGTCACCATTTGTAATATGACTTTATTTTGAGAGCCTCTGTTGGGATGCTATTATGCATGTATGTATATAACCCATGGACACAGACAGTAGTGCTATAGGCGAAGAGGGTGCCTAGGGGAAGCGGGGGAAGGAATTAAAGGGGAACATATGTAATACTTAGAACAATAAAGATAAAATTTAAAAATCCCAACTCTTGCCCTGGCTGGAGTGGCTCAGTTGGTTGGGTATCATCCCGTGCACCAAAAGGTTGCTGGTTTGATTCCTGGTCAGGACACATGCCTGGACTGTGGGTTCAGTCCTTGGTGAGAACATGCAGAAGGCAGCCCATTGATGTTTCTCTCTCACATCATTGTTTCTCCCTCTCCCTTCCTCTCTCTCTAAAAATCAATAAAAATATATATTTAAAAAACAACAACAACCCAACTCATAAGAAATACTTTAAGGCATAATTGGGACCTACAGATTGGTAATGGTCACATTTGATACCCTGAATTCTTTAGCATGTGTGATAGTCTAGTATGAGGAGGATGGTAATATACATATTAACTAATGTATTGATAAGGTATATTTGATGACTGATATATGCCATCTATTATAAAATACATATATTGTTGGTTTCTTTGAAAAAGCTTAACCTTTTTTCACACCCAAGACAGTTTGTTCCCTCATTCCTTAGGCACACAAGCCAGATTAACACGTACAAATACATAGAGGCAATGTATGAATAAGGAGTTCGATTTGACCTGTACATGTAGAAAGTGAGTTACTGAGCACCCACTTTTTTCAGCTCTGAAAGTAGGACTGTAGAGATATATAAGTGAAGTATGAGATCATGGTTCACAGTGCTATAAGTTTTCCATTGCAGTGGGTGAAATGAGAAATACACTCGAAGTAGCCCTGTACTAGTGTTTTAATGTGCGATTTGGGACTTTAGAAGGATTACTTTGTTAGATATTAAGCTTATCCTGGAAATCATCCTTAGATTTACTTGCAGTGTCTGTACCAAAATGAACTGTGATATTAACCTGATAGTTAAATAGTTATTATTTCTCATTTTTAATTTTGAGGGAGCGAGCCCTTCCCCAAGTTTATTTTGCCAAATATAAGAAATGTTTGCAAAGATGACTTCTTAATTACCAGAAATAATTACCTCCAAGACTTAATCTAAACATTCGTTCAGATATAATAAATCAGGTTCGATAAGATAACATTGTAAAAGTTATACTTAAAATAATTTTTTGATCTTTGACCTGTGAGGACAGTCCCCACGCTGTCAGTGTGGTGCTGTGTTAGGAAGAACAGTTTGGAAAATTTTAACCCTTTAGTTTTAACTGCACACACCTGAGGAAACGGCCTTCTTCTTTCGGCACGCTGGAGACAGGTCTGGTTTACGTCTGCCTGAATGACAGCGCCACAGGGCAGCCCCAGCAGAGCCCTCATCACCACCGGGCCTTCTAGAGCTCAGGAAGGACCACCTTCGACTGGCTGGGTACTCCAGGCCTTATCAGCATCCTCTGCAGACAGCATTTTATGCCCATTGTGCATGATGGTGGGATAGCCACCGAACGGCATTAGACATGTACATTGCTGTCCTGTAACAGTAAAGCAGGTGCCTGGCTAGCTCTACTCTGGCAGGGTTAGTCATAGAAAAAGCCCAGCATACAGAGCAAATGTTGGAAGAAACACCCGATTAGATTTTTGAGCCAGGATTAGAAACACCAGGAGAGTTAGGTCCACGGATAATCAGAATCAGGACCCAGTTGGAGAGAGTAGCTGAAGTGCTGTGGTTCAGGCCTGTGGGCTGGAATCGAGAGGAGTGACACACACATTGCTAACAGAGAGGAATGATCTTCGGTCCTTGACAGAGAGCCCCCACCTGGCCCTGCCTGCATGTAAATCCTGCTTGCTTAGACTACCTGCTTCCCTAATGTTTCCTAACAGACTCATGTCCACGTTGATTTCCTGAAGGCAGGCATGTCCTGCTCCTGTTTGTAGGCTATGAGAGAAGAAACAGGAGAGTAGAAAAGAATGAAGTGAGAGAGAACGTAAGGGAAGGAAATTACTGAGACTAAAAATGGAAGGCAATGGGATTGTTATTTGGAGGGTTAATGCTGAAATAAAGCTGTGATCTCAATGGAGATTGGAACTAATGGACAGGTAGGTGGGGCTAGGAAGTTATGTTAAAGCTGTCACCATTGATCATTATGAGGACATTTTAGTCTTTTACTTGTGAAGTTACCTGGGTTAATAAGAAAGTCAGGGTGGCTGTTTGAGGTTAGGTATATAGGCCAGACTGAATTTGTGATGTGACCTTGTATTTAAGGGTTCAGGTGTTTTCTGTTTCTTGGCAATCTAACTTTTCTTATTTCTTAAACACTCAGTGTGTTTTCTCTAATCTTCCAATTCTCTTGTTGCATTGATTTAAGTGTTCCTAATCCTGGGCTGGTAACCTGACTTCGTTTCCTGCATTACTGCTTCTCTTTGGTGTTTGGATCTTGACTTCAGTGTCCTTGACCTGGAATTGAGACCTGTGTTAACTCCTAGGACTGCTGGGAAGGATCAGAGCCCCGCATCTGACAGTATCAGCATCCCACCGCTGAGCCCTGCCCTGAGGAGTGAGGTGTTTCAGCTGCTCATTAGGAAGGCCTTCTGGTGCAGGTGCTGCCAGTATGGGCAGGCAGGCCTCAGCAAAGTATAGCTTGGCTTGCTATCCCCACCACTGCAGGGGCCCTGCCATTTCTGTTGGTGGGGAGTGTGAGCATTATTGAGATTCATTTTAGTCTTTAAACATTGGTGTTGCACATTGTTTTGAAAGTGCTAGAATGATATTGGAAAAGCTTTTTTTCTGATAGTATGGAGTGCTTTGTTAGGCAATTTGGTTGAGTTTCAAAGACCACAGTGCTAGTGTTTGATTATCAGATCACTTGTGGGATACACAAGTCATGGCCATCTTATTTTGAATTCAGACTGACTCTAGTAGTGTCTTAGGCTCTCATTTGATTGGCTAGGTCATGTGGCTTAATTTAGAAATACATGATTGATTGAGCCGTATTATTTTATGCTTCCTAATGTTGCTTAAAGCTGTGGTATTGCATATGAAAAGTGTAAGCTCCATCACTGGACAGAGCTCAAGGACTTGGCAGGGCTACCTCCTGGCCAGCCTTGGTTTTGAACTCAAATCCCTTGTGTATTTGGGATTGGAACTCCTAGTA